TGAGTAAAGCACCCATCTCATATAAAGATAGTGTATTTTTTCTAGAAAGATATGGAAAGTTCACACAGACTTGGAAGCCGACAAGTCCCTGCAGTCGAATCCCTCCTTAAAGGGACAGCACGACGAAAAAGGCAAAGAATCATCAGAAACGCAGCTGGGAAAGACTAGCACTGTGAGTCACCTCACTTCTGCACCCTTTCTACCATAAATAACACATAGGTCCCAGCCTCATTCACACTCGCGGGCACGGCTTGCATCTATGAAGACAGGAGAGGCCGGAGGATGACACTGTAAACCATGCACATCCTGAGACACTTTCTGTAGTGCAGTCCAGTCCTTTCCTCGAGGCAACTCCTAACACCACAAGTCACTTGCACATAATATTAATCCTCATTTGCATATTTGCAATACTTAAAGCAAAACTACATCATCATCATGATCGGTCTATATGTGTTTCTACTCTAGGACAGGGAGGAAAAACAGAGAAAGAGGGCTATCAGCGCTGGCCTAAAAATTTACATGTGTATAAGCCTGGTAAGAAAGTCACTGTGTGAAAGGGGCTGCAGGAGTGACTGTCCCTTTGTTCAGTGTAAATGTCCCTTTGTTTGGTGAGGGTCAAGGCAGCAGAATCAATTGTCCCAGGACAGAAACCTGGCCAAGTAGAAGACACCCCTCGTCAGCCAGGAGTTTCCCTTGGGGTTGATAAAGCAGAAGCAGAGAGTAGGGCATTGTCTGGGAGAGCTGCGGGTGAAGAGGTGAAAACATAAAGGCAGGGCAAAAACCCCCCTGAGCCAGTGCCAGGAAGGAAGCTTGGAGATGCAGCTTCTGCAGTCAGAGAGGAGGCCTGCAGTAGTAAGCAGGGAGCCCATCCCTCTCTGAGCAAAGGACAATGGGATTTTGCATGCGTTTTGCAAATAATTCCCCATCCCCCCCAAATACCGTTTTTCCATTATTTTTCTCTTTAAGAAGCAACCCATAGTGCACTAAATTTGGTCAAAAGCTCAGTGGGGGGAAGGGGTAATGTCATCTCTATGTTTGATTTCCACTAACTGCTTGGCAAAAACATATCTTAAACGTGACCTAGGCCTTCCCTTCTCTCCAGAAAAAGAAGCAAAAATTAAAAGAAAAGAAAACAAAACACACAAACCAAGCAGCAAAAATTTGCTGCAGTAGAAATCTATGAGAAACAGGGTCTCAATTGTAACCTGATAGACTATTGTAACCTGATAGACTTACATGGGCCCAAGGATTTAGGAAAGCTCAGATAACAGGTGGAGAACACAAACACCACTTGCAGAAGACAAACTACTAGAACCCAATGCACCCTCCCCGCCAAGAGAAAAAGCCCTGTTGAGATAGTTGCATGCTTGCTCAGGAGCTAGTACTTAATTCTAAGGATAATTAGGATTTGCCTGGAGCCAAAGGATATAAATAGCAACTGAAACCTGCTCATATCTTTCCCCCCATCAGCTGGGCCATGAACTGTTTGGCAAAAGGGCCCCTTTGTGATACTAAGGAGTCCTCGGATCAGTCTCAGCCTATCGGCACTGACTCATGTGAGCTGCCAAGGGGAGCTGGTCTTTTGTGTTCTGGCAGCTCCTCACTGCTGCTTTATGCCACTCCCTCTCAAATGAAGATTCTGATAAGGAATTAAAAAAAATAAAAGAAAATAAAAGAAGAGAAAAAAACGTCAGTTGCTACCCAGCGCTTGGCGCTCCCTTGGTGCTTAATTGTGTGGGAACTGTGACATGCAGTCTGTCAGCTAGAAGGTGGCAGATCCCTGTGGCACTGTTGGAAGGGTGTAGTGTGAAATACCACTGGTTTACTCTACAACTACAGATACTGTAGGGCATGTCTGGAGCAAACCATGGCCTAAGTTCCCCACAGCTGTATGTGGTTCCCTCACGTTTCTCACCCATGGCGTCTGTGGCCATGAACACCATTCTTTTCTAAGACTCTCTCTCCTGTTGGTGTCTAGTTGCCGTTAAAAAAAAAAAACAAAAAAACCACCCCACACACAGAAAATTTCCTGTCCAAGTTTTTGCTTTGCTCCTTTCTCTGCTTGTCAACATGCACTCCATTCTGAGACTTAACAAGGAACAGCTTCTAGTTCTACAAAATACAGGAGGTGCCTTTACAAACTTGTCACATCCTGATGTTAGCAGCATATGGTATTGAAAATATTCCCTCTGCTTAGAAAGGGGAGCTGTTACAAATATTTCAAGCAACAGTTGGTTAATTTTGGATCCAATTCTGCAGTGTATCAATATTTTTCTCATGCTTTTACATACAGTGAAGATGCCCATAGCAGTTCTTAAAGTATAGGTCAAACCAAAGACTGTGGAGGATGCTTTTAAAACAAGTATATTGGTAGATACTACACCCAGGCTTTAAAAGAACATTTTATTCTAAATAGTGTGTGCATAAGGCTGAGTCTGGCTCTTTCGTCTTCCTTTCATGAGGCTGAAAGGAGCAAATCCTCATCGTCTTGTGCCTCAAATAAAGGAAGAGAAAGGGTCTATACTGTACCTAAAGGCTGCCCCTAGGAAAAATTGCCCTGTTGAAATAAAAGAACACAGAAAACAAGAGATCAGAAACTGGAGGGGCACGGTTTTAAGACCAAGTGCAGAAGGTGGGATTTCCCAGGGATTTTAATATGGAACAGGAGCCAAAAGACAGTACTAGGACAGGGGAGATGGGGCTAGTCCTCCAGATTTGCAGAGCAGCAGAGTATGTGAGGTGAAGTCAAACAGGGGCCAGATTAGAGCCTTGGGAAGAACATGGGGAGTGCAGTGGTTGCCTGCCATGGAGAAACTATTTCTTACCTCCTTCCTTAAAATGATACTCAAAGTGTCTTTGGGAGGTATAATGACATCCTCTGTTCCCTTTTCCCAGAACATGACTAAGCTGCCACTGGGAAGTAGCCTAGCAACCTGCATTCAGCTTGATTTTCAGAGAGGTGAGGGACAAGAGGAGATAACTGGGCAGTTTTAAGGCATGCTGGTAAAGCAGCTTCCTGGAGTCCTGCGTAGCACCCTTCTCCCACCCCAGTTTTCAAGGTAATAGACAGTGTGTTTCTGCTCATTCCTTTACCACAGATCTTTTGCTCACCCCTTCCAGCACCCACCTAGCCACAGCTTCTTACTGTAACTGGACTGTTTCCTGCTTTCTGCCTACTTATTTTTGCAGTATATCTGGGAAGTGTAATCATCCACACTCAGCAGGAGAAGAGCTGAAGTGCAGAAGAACTCTTCCCTAGTAGCACAAGCAATTTTGTGGCTAAGCAAGCAACTGAATGGGGATTTGCAAGAGTAAGGTGACATCCTAACTTACTGCTGTCACTCTTATGGCATACTACTTTAGCACTGAAAGCTTCAGGGATTTCAAACTGAACCTTATGCAATGATTTTTCCACAGTATGTGCTCGCCCGCAAAAGCCTTCCTTCCTTTCCTTCCTTAAGGACTTTTCTCATTGGGGCCAAGCCTATAGATGCGTACATAATCCACCACGACTGCTAAAGCCTCGAGCAAAACAACGCAGGTAAGAAGGCAAACAAGGGACACTCAGCTTGTTCTCAAGCCCGTTTACAACACAGCAGCAGCAAAAGGATACAATTATGGCATGCATGGAAAAGCAACTCAGGATGCTCTCCCTTGGAAAGCCTCAGGGTGAAAAATAAGGGCAGGTGAATTGAGAGATGCATATGTTTAGCACATCTTGCCTTAGTAATACCGTACTATGAATGCAGAAGCACATACTGCTTCCAAGTCTCTAACTATCCAATCAAATGTGATCATTAAGCATATTCAGGGGAAAATACAAACGTGAGAAATATACCATGACCATAGAAGAGACAGACGTGAAAAAAGAAAGGGCAAACCCAAGGACAAGCAAACAAGAAACATGCTGCATAAAACACAGTTGATATAATACAGAATTCAAAAAGAGAGGTGAGAGAACTGCTTTAAGCAAAAAAGTAAAAGAAAAAAACCCTAACCTCCTTCCCCTACATGTTGTCAAATTCATGGTTTCTGTGCTGGAAATCTAGGGCAGTCAGAATAACAACGTTTTGGTATCTCCTTAGGTCTAGCTAGACCAGATATAATCTAGTTCTCAGATGAAAGATCTGCCAGGGAACAACAAATACACAATGATGATTATTAACAAAGTTCTCTGGAGGGCAACTTGACCTAATATGTTACTGTGAAAAGAAACAAAGCAATGAAAACACCAACATAAACTACTCAAAAAGAATAGTACACGCAGAGATACCACAGGAGCTTGGGATAAGAATCACATCAATCCTTCTGTCTCTACTTTTGTTCCTGAAGCATTCTATTTGTCTTTATTTTTGGCACAAATGGCCTTACCCTTTGTCCACCAATTATGCTTAAAAAGAATCACTTATTGGAGGTACTTATTGGATTTACCTTTGACTGGGAAACTACCTTATTACAGTCATGCAATGTAGCAGTAGTTTTCAGCTGCAAGACTATTCTAAGAGTTGTTACAGTGTTTTTGAAACATGATGCATCTGCTGTAAACACCGATCTAGCAGCAAAAATAGCAACTTGAAATTCAGTAAAAAAAAAAAATAAGAAAACAATACACAAACTAACATTTCACATTCAGATATCTAAAGTAATTTCCTAAATAATAACTATGAATCCAAATACAACCTTTATTTTTAAAACATCCCTAGCCAATGTTTCCATGGGTGGTGAGTAGTCTCAGGAAACTTCAGAGGTTTTGGGGGCTTCTTTCCTATCTTCTCAACCTCTTTCATCCTTATTATTCGTATCAGTTAGGAAAAATTTCTTATTTCCCTCATATCAGTCATGGTGAGTTACCCGAAGAAAGTGTAGAGCAGCTAGAGACAGCTATGTTGATGTGGGTACTCAAGATAAAAGAATGTACTTCCTCAGGAATTATGTTATTTTGGAAAACTGGTATAACCCATGCCAAAAACAGAAAGGGGAAACAATCAAACACAGATTACCTGAGCACCCACTCTAAAAGCAGCTTCTACTTGAGCTTTAAGGATGTTACATTTCATATGATCAGGAACAGAAGAAGGTGACACAGGGGCATGAAGAGTCTTTTCAGATACTTTCTTCTCTTCACTCTATATTTAATATAAAAGAAAAGCACAGGGACATATATTAGAAAAATAAATTAATAAAATGATTAAGTCAAATTTTAACTTGTAACAACCTGGATCAACAATACTAGGTAAAACTTCAGTGTTCATACCCTGATAGATATATCTGACAAGAAAAAATTTTTGAAAGATTTAATGAATTGGTACTATAGCCAAGACAAAAAAGGCCTTCAGGGAAGCCTGGGTAACAGAAGCGAGAAATTAATGGACAGTGCTTAGAAACATAGAAAAAGCCCAGCCAGGCCCTGGAGTGGTTGCCCAAGCCTGAGATTACACTGAGGAGGTAAAACATTCCCCAAAATATCCCATAGCAGGCAAAGACGGGAAAGGTTTGCAAGGCTCAGCTATAGTCAACCTCACTTTCTTATGTGACCTTAAGAATGTAAAAGGACCTTGCAAATTTAAGGCACTGCCAGAGGGATTTGAAGGCATCTCCACATAACTACAAGCCAAGCTGAAATCTCCTTCATCAAAAAGAAAAAGAAATCAAAAATCCAGGGAGTTTAAATATATCTGCTGCTGCTGCTGCTTCCACTTGATGCAAACCCCTTAACTGCTCAGCGTTCTGGATCAGAAATCTGAAGGCTCGGGACAGCTAGTTTAGCAACCTGTTCAAACATGACCTAAAGACTTTTGTGCCTTGAACAAACAAGATCCAGCAGACATGCCAGCATAAATAAACTTTCTCATGCAGAAAAGAAAAAAAGAGAAATGAGAAGGACAATGTAATATTAATGTATAAACAAAAAGGGTATGGATGGGACTGCGTTTGTAAAGGCAGACTCTTAAACAATCAAGTTGTAATTTTTCAAGAAAAAGTTGAGCAATGGCATAACAGCTACTGCAGGCTTTCCTATTCATTCTGGAAATTAGACTCGAATTACAACTGAATAACAGCCTAGATTATGCATTCATTTTCCTTTTCCATTGCTACAAAGAGTGAAGGGCCATACACGTCTGGACAGAACAAACGTATAATGCCATCATTCAGATTCCATGGGCTTCTCACTAACCTTGTGTACAGCTACAACATCAGTAAACCAGGCCCAGTGTATCCCTGAGGCTCACCTCTGGCAAATTATCTCAGGACAGAACTGGTCAATTTATACTCACTGAAATTACCATATGATTAGCCCTTAACTTGAAAAACTGTCGTCTTTATCCTTCCTTCTGCCCTCCCCTAGGGCATTTCACAGGCTGGTGGTAACCAAAATCTTACTGACTCTTCTTTCAGATCCAAGAACAATCACAGACAAAAGGGAATGTCGCGATTCTGAGGACACTTTCTGCAAGCGGAGCAAATCATGAATGCAGTTATGTTGCCTGAGGATACCATTTTGCGAACACTGGGAGAAAGCAGCTAGACCTCTGCAGAACTCTTTTGAGATAGCAAGATATTTTTCATGCGTAAGCAAAGCTGGTCCAGCAGACTTCTGCATACAAAATGTCATAGCTTCCAGGTATGATTTTGAACAACTGTCTGGTTTACCCATCACGAGGTTTTTTTTTTTTTCCCCCCCCTGGGAAATCTCTAATAATTCTTACATGTCTATTTGCTAAGTCACATTTACTATTTTTAATGGAAGATATTTTTCGACATTTCATTCTCTTTGCTTTCCTCCTAAGGGAAAAAGAAAATACATAAAATGAAAAGTGACAGCTTCTGGCTGGAGCAACTTGTGGAACTGTATCCATGTCTCCAGTCTCGAATATAACTGCAATTCTGGCAAGCACCTGAATAAGAAATTGAAATATTCATTTGCCATAGGTGGCTTTTCTGGGGTAGCCATGAAGCTAAGTGGTAGAAATAATCAAAGGACAAAATTAAGTCTAAAGAAAGCACAACTTTCCCTTGACCAACAATCTTATTAGCTACTACACACTTCAAAAGGACTGCTCTTATTGGCAACTCTTAAGTGAACTGATTTCTAAGAGCAGAAAAAATAATGCACTAAGCAATGACATTTCTAAAGACCACATAAAATCCCACCTTTGTTTTAACACTTGATACTAATTAAATATCATTTTAGTCAAGTCAGATTAAGTCACTGCATTTTACTAGCTAAATGAAGACAACTGATGCTTGCTTAAGACACAAATTTGTTTCATAACTCCAAAACTTCCTAAGTCCCATCCATTTGGTATCGAGTATGTATGGATAATTTTTCTGTTTTTGTGTACTTCCTCCCCTGCCCAGTTTCCCTGCATTGACCAAGAGCTGGAAAAAGGCCTTCAGGGCTGCCCTGTAGCTGGGACCCCTGAAAAGACCTAAGCTTGCCACCCTATTTAGTATTATATCAGATGACGCTATATAATGATGATCGTCCCCATTGCCTGGTCTGAGGTCTCACAGGCTGAGACTCGTAACTTGAGGGGTCCCAACACCAACACTTACCCAACCTGCCTGAAAAGGGAAAGCTGCTGCTGCTACTGGAGGTTACTGCCTTCTTAGAAACCATTCCTGGGGTTCAGGTCTGCTCTAGCCCTTGTTTGGGCCAAACTGTAAAGATTTCAAGCTTCAAGCAAGCAGAATTCACTTGGCTTGCACCCCCACCAGGAGCAGCAGCAGCACTGGTGAGTGACCATGCATCAAGAGCAGAGAGCTGTAGTCGGCTGCTCGGCCTCATCTCGAATGCTTATCTCAAAGAGTTGATTAGCTCAAACTATTACACGTATATTTGCGGTGGCACTGAAGATCCAGACAGCAAATGAACATCCATGCTGCAAAGGAATTTAATACATAAAACAAAGTGGCACTTCCTTATTTCAGACTATTAGCATTTCTGAGCGTCTATATAAATTTCTGTTGCTCCTTAATGCCGCTAACCTTCAAGTATAACCCTGTTCATCCCCCAATTTTACTCATATAGTTGTCAGAAAAGAAAGGTAAAAGAAAAAAATAACATTTCAGGACACAATAATACAGTATGTGCTATGGTTCATTTCCCTAGTTTACAAGAAAATCATAAATCTAAAAACCGTCTGCATTATGGAGTCTGTATATACTATAGCTACAAAAATGAAAGCTGCAATCTACTTTATTTTGCCTTATAATAAATAAATCTGCAGTTTACATTTCCAGAATCCTTATTGCTTGCAATGATGAATGAAGCATAAAGGTAGCAGCTGGGTATTGACATGTTGTACCAGGCTGGCCGTTATTAATATTTTATTTTCATTTATAAACTAAGAACATTCTATGTGGAAGTCATTAGAAGATGATATATGACCCTGTTGACGTAATTTCTGACTTTATCATTTCTTGTTATGTAATTCTGAAAAATCTGAGATACTGGATTCAAATGAATGTGTGAGAATCAAACTTGCTTCTGAAAGAAATATAAAATTGCAATCCTAATCATCCTAAAAGGTTTAGAAATGAGAAAAAAAAAAACAACGTTAAAGATTCCTGATAACACTCCCATTTTCTATCTCCAGTTCTGCTGGTGCCACTGAATAGCAATGTGTTCACATTACTTTCACCATTGACAAATAACTTTATTTTTCTGCATTGGGAAAACACTGCAGAATTGCAGGAAGCATTTAAATGGGTTTGACAGAAGTGGGTTGAGCAAGCTCAGATGTATATATGTACATGTACATATATATGTATATGTATAGACGCAACTAGAGGCTTTTTTTTCTTTTTATAACTGAGGCCTTCGGTTTGCTTTTCCCCTCCCAAACATTTACTTTAAATTCAATTACATCCACTGATACAAGAATCACAGGCAGATTTGTACAGTGTCAGATAGTGATGACACTAGCTTTGGTTTGCAAAGCTAACTGAATATTAAGTACACATGCAGAATATAAAAATAGATGCATGAAACACAGCAATTCCACTCTCTCATACTTAACATTTCCATTCTGTCTGTTTTGAAAGGTTCATGTTTTGTTCCACATAAAACTGTACCATGAGCAAGATTCATGATCTTCTCCCTCTGCCAATTTATCAATAGTCTCCTCTTAGCCAAACAGTGTGTTTAATACACAAATTTGGCTGGAGAACAGAACGGCTATTTTAGGAACACAGGCTTATTCTCAACTGCTAGTCATCACAACTAGTAGGAGGTAAAATTTTGATGAAGACAATGCAGATATACAGGTTTTAAATGCACATTAGCTGTGTGAGGTCAAAATCCTTGGTTTCCTAAGACTCACCTATACCTGCATAGGATTATGCACTATTCTTACTTGGGGCAAAGTTTGCAAGCAAAAGATACATTATTAGAATAATAATACATTTGGAAAAATAAACAAAGAAAACCATCCTCCTGTAAGCTGTCAGATGCGCAAAACCTTCTTCGTGTCAACTCTATCAACTACACCCGACTTGGAGCCAGGGTAGCTGTAGGCTTTGTTATTGTGCAAGGGGCAGGTAGCTCCAAAGCTTTTCTACAAGCAGTATCATTTACAAGCAGTCACTAGTGTGACTGTTTAGCCCCGTAACATGGTATTGCCGTTGCTAGAAACAGGCCACAGGCTTTGTACTGAGCTCGCAAGGCGTCAGGACTGAAGCTTGTCCAGCTTGCTCTGTCTGAACTTCTCCTGACCTGTCAGCAGCTTTGTTTTACTTGGTTTAGCAGTAACAGCAATTTTTCTAATTGACCAGATGTCTACAGTTATTTTTTTCTACTTTTGTTTATCTTTGTACAATACGACCACAGTTTTACATAGACAGCAGTAACAAGCAGTTATTCTATGCAGGATGTGGTATTCATGACTGGAGCATAATGATGTTGTGTGGAGCAATACAGACCCAAGGGAAGACCCTGGACGTAGTACAGAAGAGTGCAGGCAGGGGACGATGGTCCACAGGGCACAGGCTGGCACTGAAGAACCCTCAGCTATAAACAATTTGCCAGTGATCAGCTAAGGAAATGCAAATCTGGAGCTCAACAAAACTGGTTTTAGTGGTAACCAAGAGAACAAAGAGATAGTATCTAACATATGTAAATGCCACCATATACAGTAGTTTGGGATGCAACATGAAGCCACTGATCAGTGAAGAGCAAGGTGTAAAAGCGTGTTAGCAAAGTTATGAAAAGGACTCCAAATGGATCCTAGAATGAGAAAGGAGAAACCATCAACATCATATGCCTCGCGGCGAAGGACTCCAGAGGCAGACATCCCCCTGCAACACCCCTGCCACCCCCCACCAGAATGAAACCACCAACTCTAGGACCCAGGGGAAGGGGAAGCATAACACCGGGAAAAGGAGTAGGAACCAAATGCACGTGTAACGACCTGTATTATTGTTCTTTCTTTTTCTGTAATAATTAGATCTGGCCTAATAAAGATTAGAGTCTGAAGGTTTCAGTTACATGAACAATACATTCTTGGCTTTAGATGTTATATACACACATATATATGCATATACGTGTATGTATATATATGTGTATACACACACATACATATACATACGCACATAAACATACACACACACACATATATACGGTGTGCTTCCTCTTTGCCCATAAAACACAATTTTGAGCATCACAGACAAAAGCTGCAGGAAGCAGGGGATGAGAAAACATATTTTTCTGACAAAGGTTTTTGCAAGAAAAAAAATTAAAAGCGTATTCACAGGTACAACACTTTGGCTTATTTCTCCTGGAGGTTAAAAAGTCTGCTAGCACCAAAGGGAACAATACACACATTGAAATTTACTTTTATCACTCCCTAGGTGGACAGACATGTCCCCTGTACCGAACAGTTCTGGAAAAGAGACTGGACACGTCCATTCATCATTCCCATGAGACCGAGTTTGCTGTAGCAGACAATCAAATTAATTAACTGCTGAATCTAATTTACCCAATTTCTTGTTAATTCTGCCATGGGCTGATTATTAAGCTTGACAAACTCCACCCCCAAAGCACGTTGCTTGAAAAAATAACAATTAGCAACAGGAAGAGAGGGAATGAAAGTCGGGACTCCACAATAGATGTGGAAACCATTGCTTTATTTTCAGAACTAAAGCAATAGAAGCAGCTTCATAACTGTCTCACTGGTTCTGCTTAAGCATAGTATTTCAGAGGAAGGCAAACGAGGGAATAAACAGCACTTCGCAGAAATGAAATCAATGGTGTTGTGCTGGAAAGCTATTACAGCTTCATTTCTTGCCAGAAACTAGACACACTGACCACTCATTAAAATCCGCTCACTGCTGGGCTCAGTAGCTGGTTAACTACCATAACCAAAGTAGCTTTAAAGGCCGCGCTTTTAGTGAAAAGCGCTTACCAAAGCTCAAGGTTGTTTAGTCCTCTCTGGCATGGGCAATGCTCAGCAGCACTTCAGCCCTGGGTTAGCCCAACATTCACAGCATGTCCCTCTCACTGCAGAAACCATCTGCTCAAGTGACTGCAGGGTCAGCTCAAAGTTCAAAGACCTGGGATTTGTTTGTTTTAGTTTTACAAGCTCTGTGTACTTATTTCACTAGGACCTAGGTAGCAAACCACAAGCATGGGGCCGAAAAAAAGCCTCTGAACAACTTGTCAGCCACAACAACCCACAGCTTGCAGCTGAGGGCTTGATCATTGATGTGATTTCTGCTGGTGACACTGGGTATCTTCAGAAAGCGCATATAATTTTCAAGTGGTTTGGTATGGCAACCTTCCTAAATTTGGAGGGACTAGTCTGCTCTCCATTCTCCCACATGGTAACTGCTGTTCACGGGATTGCTGCCTATCTGCTAAAGCCAAACCCCCTCAGGCTGCCAGGAGAAGGATTTTGCAAGACAAACCATACCTCTAGCCCTGCCTTCTGCTGATGCTCTGCCAGAAGCAGAGCTTAGCAGCTTCTTGGTGCTCAGTGCAAAACCTTTCCATCAGCAAAACTTTTAATTGACAGTTGAAAGTCTCAGCACAGCAGACATGGGCTGCATTTATTTTGCCCTCTTAAACAGGACAGTATCCCAAGAAAACCCAACTCGTTTAGTCATCAGAAGGCACTGACTTGCTCTGTGGTACTGGGTTCTGCTACTTAGTTTTAAATAAATAATCCATCTGACTGTGAACAAGACTGTTAGGGAAAGTCAAAGAAAATCATTAGGTATAGAGGAGCTGAGTTCAGCTTCATGAGCTTCATGGATTTTTAGAAAAGAAAAAAAGAGTGAGAAGACCAGAGGTCAGGCTTTGCCAAGCAGAAGTCACAGGGATTCTACTGGGACTACTTGCATGGTACAGTGGAATACATGCCCAAAGTGTTTCAAGCTTTCATTTAAAAAAAGAAAAAAAACACATATAAATGCATTCGTCTTGAGATTACAAGGGCACCATTCAGATCACCTGTTCAGATCTTTTGCACAGTGCAGCCCAGACTACCTTATCTACCTACTCCTGTACCGTGGTCAACACAAGAGGTCCTCCAGCTTCCATATTTTAGCCCTTTTTCTATGCCAAACCGAGCCGCCAACAAGCTCAGTAGTGTAGGAATGTCCTTCAAAGCATGTTTGGGACATTGCACCTAAATGAATGCTGGGGTTAAGACATAAGGTATCAATAATTATGACTGAACTACAGCACTCCTCTCACAAGACGGATATTTATTGGATGAATCCAAGTGGTGGAAACTTTTCCTTTACCAAACCACATCAATGCTTAATTAGCTTTGCCTACAAAAAACTGCACTTATTTCCAGTTAGAGTATTTCTAAAAGAGGAACTGGACAAGTGCCCATGCAAAAAAAAATTTTATTTTTTTATTTCACCTCGATTTGTCTGCTTTATAATTCAACTTTTCTCCTCACTTGGACCAACTGATCAGATCAAATGACAGCACCTCACAACTGATAACTAAATAGATTTAGGCAAAAGTCTAACATATTTCACCTTGGCATGTTGATTCAGAAGTCTCAAAACATTGCCTCATGGGCATGTATGTCATTGCCTCATGACTGCATTCATCAGTACAGACGATCATCCTTAGCCGAACTCCACCAACACCCTGTGGCACACTATAAACATGATTCTTTAAACAATTCTCCTCACGAGGGAAAATTGAAGTGCATTATGGAAGATATAGCTTGAAAAGGGTCCTAGGCTTATAGAGTTGCACAGGAGTATTAAAGCTTCCACATGACACTGACTTCAGTTATCTAGAATTTTGAACAAAATAGACTTAGATTTCATTATTTGTTGGAAGCACCTGACTATTTTCAGCCTCGACTTCTGTCTCCTGGATGCTCTCATTCAGAGAAAAGAGAGGTTATGCTATACAGATATAAAGACCCTTGTGCCTGTACTTTTCATACACCTCACAACCTCCCCTTTGATTTTAATTTTCTGGATGCTGTGTTGAAATAATATTAATAATAAGAACCTGTTTTTGAAACCAAGGTCAAGTAATTTAATTGGGTTCTACCTAGAACTGATGTCTCTCTCTTTAAACAGCATACTTCTTTTAACAGGTATACATGTTCACTGGGGGGCCAGTCTCTGAAGCCAGTGGCAATGTTCTCACTAATTTCACCAGCTTCAGCTCAGGACCAGTCCCAGAGGGCTTGTTGTGAACCAAAAGTCCAGGCCTCCATGGCTTTATCCAGGGTGAGCTCAAGGCACCCCCGCAGTGCAGACACACTGGATTTTGGCTCCCACGGATACGAGGAGCCACCAAGCTGGTGTCCCTCAGGCCTCTGGCATAAGCAGTGGGACACGGCTGTTTTGCAGCCTCCTCAAAAGCCTGCTAGTCTAACACTGGCCAACAGGTGTGGGGGTGGGGGGGGTGTGTCTAAAGCATAACACAGATTCCTCATGTGGCCTGATGGCTTTTTCTTTCTTGATCATTTAAAGTCTTGCCATTTTCTTACAGTTCTGGGCTGCCTAGATGACTAACTCTTCACAGCTAAATCAAAACTACATCATAACATTGTTGCAGCAGCTCTGAAATTTTAAAAGGCAAAGTCGAAGGAAGTACTAAATCTAAAAATGAAACCCCAGTCCCTTGAGGAGATGGTATGAGGTGATTAACAAGCAAGACAGTTGCAGATGAATGTTGATTTGAATTGGAGGTGAAAAAGCATCAGCTTCTGAATATCATGTGACGAAGGAGCTCTCTGGCATATATATATAAAAATACATGTATATGCTATACCTTGTTCATGCTGATGTGCAGGGCTGGCCATGGTCCAACTACCTTCACACTCTCCGTTTCTATTTTCTTCAGATGAGAAGTTTCATCATAAAGAAGGGGAAGTCCTGAGCTCAATTCTAAAAAGATGCCCAAAAGAAAGAAAAAACACAGTCTGAAGGGAGGCTACAGAAGAACTGCAGAACAAGACACTCAACTGCATTTGAAGAGACAGCGGTCAACAGACCATCCTTTCTGTAAGACCGCCTCAAATGCTTCATAATCACGCCTGTCGGGCTATTTCTCCTTCTTCTATTTAGCAAACAATTCCTCCCCTTCCTCCTCCTCCTCTCCCATTCCTCCACTTCAGCAGGGCTTTAGCTAGCTTCTTCTAGATACTTCTCTCCTTATGCACACACTAAATAGCCATGTATTCTACAATTCAGTTCACACCAGGGGGGTTCTTTATGCAGCCAAGGTGCCACTCTCAGAATATGCGATGTGTAAAGAGATCAGAGCAGAGCTTTTGGCTTCTCTCATAGACTTCTTTACTCGTACGCCAGCCTCTTTAAGGCTGTTGTCGGGAATTTGCTGTGCTTTGTTGACACAGACTTTGAGTGAACCACCAACACAAAGACAAGGAAAACGTTTTTTGAGAGAAAGTCTTGAAAGGTCTTGGCCAACATCTTGGGGATCGTGTGGCATACTATATGCAAATGTTTAAATATTCTTAGAAAAATGAGATTCATTACATGATAATTTCATGAATCCCTGCCTACTCCTGCATTTTTTTGCCATAGGCTCTGGGTAATAATGGTTGGGCTGTAATCTCTAGAGTCTTATTCAAAGCCCACTGAAATCAATAAAAACCTCTCAGTAACGGTAGTTTTGCTTGGATCTGGTTCCTAAGCTGTCCTAAGAATATTAAATATTATTCACTCAATATATAATTTTACAGCTGTTTAAACATACATTACAGGCTTTGCTGGCTAGAGGCAAACCACTAAAACCAGCTTCCCGGGATATAAGCAAGAGGCTGTTTTTGGCATTAGTGAAACTTAATGAGACCCTGAGGTAAGAGTGTCCTAGAAGGGGTACAATATCCCTTATCAGCAGTGATCTCCCATCAGCGATCTCTCATCGCAAGTCAGTGTCAGCACAGCTTGGCAGTTCTGCCATCACAGTTGTTTCCATGGATGTGAAACTGTGAAATTGCCCATGGTATCAGTGAATAAATTACCATAGCCACCAGATAAGTCAGGATGATGTATTTTAGAAACTTAGCCATTTTACTTTTCTGTCGAGAAAGAACATAAAGGGGAAAAAATACATTATTTAAAGGATTCAAGTTTGCTGTGATGTAAAACTGACACACTGCTAGCTGCTTCTTTGTTTAGAGGGAGCGCTCCAGAAACTAAACTAGCTCATTTAGTTTTTTCGCTCAATCCCGCATAAACAAGCCAAAAAAGTCAAGTCCTACAAAAGGCATACCTTTACTGAGCCAGCATTAAGTTTTGGCAAAAATCAGGCTTTCGTTTCCAAAAAGGATCTGGTCACACTGTGGTTTCTCAAAGCACCATTCTAGCCTGCAATTCAGCCTGTATGACACTATTTTCTGCCCACAGTTACACAAGGAATGCACAGGGAGAAGACCTGTTCCATAAGAAGATATGATCTGTGTACATTAGCTTTTAGGTGAAGGGCACCATTGCAAATACAATAATTAGGCTGAATGCAGGAAAACAACACCTTCTGTTGAACTATCTTCATAAACACACATGTCAGATTTGATTCACTGGGTGACAATTCTTCCAGTAATTACACTGGATACATTACTTGGAATGTGAAAATCAGGCAGATTGTTTTCTGTAACAAACTCCCAGACTCTGGGTGTTTACTGCGAAAAAATTCACAAATATTTAAAGGGAACTTTGGCTGGACACGCTGCCATTTCCATTTCTCTTTCCCATGTCCTGCAAATCAGGCTGGAACTTTGGAATCTGTCAGTATCCACGTAACTGGAGGAAACGCAAATGTGTCCTCTCCTTTGACCATAAGCCAAGTACATGTGGGTAGGTCACTCTAAGTTGCCCTCATAAGAATTTTAAGTCATCCCAGAGCTCAGAGATGAATCCATAGGAACTGGAATAAGTAACAAAATGGCAATGGCCTCTGGAAAACCCAAAGGCAGTCAGACTGAAGTGGTGATGTACAGCCTCACCTCTGTCAGCCTCACCGGGAAGTTTCCCCTAGGATAGCATATTCCCCATATCAGATCTTTTGACTTTGCAGGCA